TAGATGCTGGAAGAGATCCCAAATCTATTCAAATTTAACCAAAGTTCCATCACCTTTTGCACCTTTTGCCAAGAGGGGCCGTTCGAGAACATGATGTAGTGGAGTGGCTTTGTGAGCCTACTTGTTGGTAAAGAGTCTGTGTGTGTGACACTAATTTGATCTCACGTGTTCATCCACTCCGCGAGTGGGGTGCGCTGGTTCAAGCAGGATGTCTTCATAATTGACTGCTTCCAGAAAGTGAGCGACCAATCGAACATTATTCAGCCACTTTCCTTCCGGTGCACTGGATAGTTTTCCCATTAAACTTCGCTCAAAACGCGCCCTTGATTACTAATCATCCTTTTTTTCATTCCTTTATTGGCGTGGTTAAAGAGGTCTTAACCTATATCTGACTAGAACGAACTTCCGGTTCTGTTGCTTCCAGGTTTTAGACACCACCTTGGCAAATGCATCGTCTTTATGAAATGGAATCGTCTGTGTCTTCGTCACGAGTGTCGCAATGGTTGAAGCTGGCACTTCTCTCACTAGCTGCGCCCGTGTCAACGAGTAAAGAAGTCTCAAGCGCATCCGTAGATATTATGCGCAATATATCTCAAAACTGAATGCTGTTCACGCCTATTCTTCAAAAGTATGGTATAACATAACTAACAACGAATTGTTTGAGGTATTTACAAATTTCTAATTTGCAATTGATTTATATTATGATTGCTTACGCTTGTTTGTTTTTGCGTTGTTTGTTGGTTAGTTTTTTTTTTTGTTTTTTTTGCCGCCAAGGCAGCGAAAGTGGATACAGTAGGGCTAACACATCGGAAGTATGCCCATTTATGCGCACTTCCTGGTCCAGGTTACTTTTTAGTGGTGCTAACTTGGTTCCGTATTCTGCCGGGGTGGCTGTCCTGTCGAACGGCTACATAAAGTGCGCTTGCTGATGCGCCTGAGCAGGACTCTTCCAAAGCAATCCGCCGCCCCGTAATAGCGATCCGCCCACTATTAGTAATTGTGATTTGGACGAGCTGGCGTTGCCCAAGCAGCAACGCGAGAGCACACTCGACCGGAGCATTAGATTCGGCATGCTGCCCACAGCCGCAAACTCGCTGCTTTACGGCAATCTCGTTCGGACGTTTTTCGTCCTTCCAGGTAATGTCGTCCCGTTGTTCATGTGCACGCTAAATGGCCTGATACTCAAAGTCGTCCCGTTCCGTTCCATTCTGCTGACGAGCGATTCTCCCCTCCTTATTGTCGCTAACTGGTCAGCATTGGCCATTGTATGCACCTACCAGTTCTCTCCAAACCTTCTTCTGAATCTATCCGGTGAGTCCCTGCGGCTTAACTAGTCCTCTGGATAATGTCCATTTTTGTTCCTGAAAATCAACTTACAAATCCAGAGGAAATGACCAATTGACGTTCTGCTTGATAACTTTGAAATTGAAAATTCTCAAGGCCCAAAAACCAGTCTTCAATAAACTCGTCAGCAAGTGTCACGTGCGCTAATTTGTCCAATTGCTCTCTGTTCAAACTGTTCCTTTGGTACTTGATTTTATTAGTTCCACATTTGGTGGTGTCCAATAATTCCTGTATAAGCAACGCTTTTCCGGCTTCCGCTCTGGACAAGAACGAACGGGAGGGCTTCCAAAACTACGCACTTCTTCAGGACGTCATACACTTTATAAAACAAGATTAATCTCTCTGCAGTTCACCACAAGGGGCTCCAAAGATGTTCTCAGCTGGGTAATTTCAGACTTTTGAATTACCTTTGAAGCCAGAAGCTCATCCACTATTTCCAGGTTATTATAGACTTAACAAAAATGTATTTTGATCTGTTCAATTCTCCCTTGCTCTTTCAGCAAGCTCTTCCCAGTGGATTTTTCCTGTGATGGTTTTAAAACATGTTTAAGTCCGTTTTTTCTGTTCGTAGTTAACCATTTGGCCCGTATTCCCATCTAAAAAATGTCCCCGAAATGTCTTTGCGTCGATCACAATAGTGAGACGGTGTGGAATCTAGCACCAGCGATGATATTCATCATCATGATCGTAACCCAAACCCGATTTCGCAACTCGCCAATGTCACCCGAGGGCGTCAGTAATCGGGGGCAGGCCGGTTCGTTTTCGTGAACGGACGGACGGGATAGCGTTTCACATACATGGAAAAAGTTGGCCTCAATCATACACCAAAGGTTATGAACTGGTTTCTGTCAAATGCGATTAAGGGTTACACTAAAAAAAGAACTGAAAAGAAACTAATCTCGAGGCGGATTCAAGATAAAAATTTCGGACCATCTTCGGTCCGTTCTAAAAACACTGGGTGGGAATGTTGGAGGTTACTGAAGCACTTTCTATAGCGTGCTATGCACTCGACTTCGACCATAACGAAGCGATCTGCATAATAATGTCCCTCCTGAAGGCGTGAATACAAAAAACCTTCTGATTCAAGTTCGGACCATGGTTACCATATACATAAATGCAGTGGTGGCGCTCTAACACTTGGTTCCTATTACCGCGCCCACCGTCTGAGAGTTCTGCTCTTCATCGAATTTTGCTTTTCGGCCAAATTTACTATGCCTCAGGGTCAGGGACTGGTCTGGAGGGTCAAGCTCACTCGCTCGTTCATTGGTTAACTACGAAGCACTTAGCGGGCCATGTAGCGCTTATATGGGAGGTACTCAGGTCGCCGTGGTCATTCGGGACGAGTCGAGAAATATAATTCCATATGCGACCTGAAATACTGATCTCAAACCACCCTCCCAAATCTTTACCGAACGGAGTTACAAGAGCAAGTGCGCATACGTAGTAGTGGTTCGGACCCTCATGCAGAAGGTCATCGACTCGGGTCCTGCAAGAGTTTGCTCTTTAAAGATTTTCAAAAGGCTCCGCGCGTTTCTCATCGATGCTTGTTTATATTACCTTTACCTACCGTGTAATGAGTTTACGATGAATTGGGCGCCATTCGCTCATAGCTGCTCATAGTCATGCGCAAGTGAAGCCCAGAGTTCATGGTCAATTCATTTTAGCTGTAGCCAAGCTACATTAGTTGGAGTATTTTCAGAAAAATTGTGCACAAAGGCAAAATGGTCCCCAGAAAGGGACCGATCCCATGAACCCTTGCCCATGAACCCGAACCATTACCGCTGCGCTTGCGGCTTCATAACACTACTCAGGAAGTTTCACAAGAATGCTGGGTTGTGAACAAAACTTTCGCCCCAGGCGGGACTAGAACCCGCACCTCTCGCTTTCCGGGCAAGTGCGCTACCAGTTACGCTACCGGGGCACCATTTCATTCCAACTCAGCTTTTCATGGTATACGTACCATAGCTTTCAGCATTCTAGTCCCGCCTGGGGCGAAAGTTTTGTTCACAACCCAGCATTCTTGTGAAACATTCGCAACGCGAACTGCGGCGTTAAAACAGCAGTTAACAAACAAAACAAGACTATTCAGAAAATCGTTTAGCAGATTTAAGACATATGAAATCAGCGTTCAAAAGCGCAAATAGAAATATCAGTATCAATAGCTACATAATATCTATGCAAATAGCTATATCATCTCGAGTGGCCATGGCGACCTGGAAGGCTTTCGTTTGTTCGATGCCACTGCAGCTCTGAGTAGGCACAAAATG